AGTCAAAAACGGTTGGGGGAGGGAGGAGGGGGAGGGGGGGCAATTTAACAATCAATTATAATAGACAATTTCATTATAGACTAATTTTAAAACTAGGCAAGGAGATGCAAATCGATCACCACAGCTAGAAAGAGCATACTAAAATTAGAAGAATTACAAAGTTTGGTCGCGAAATGTTGTAAAATGCGGAAAATATAGCCTTGCAAAGTTCGCAAATTTTGTATACTTTTGTATTGCGTGCGGAAATTGCTACCATTTTCCGCCCAAATGTGGTGGCAATTTCCGCACGCAATACAAAAGCATACAAAATTTGCGAACTTTGCAAGGCTATATTTTCTGCAAGGCTATATTTTCCTTGCCTAGGTTTAAAATTAGTCTATAATGGGAATGGTCTATTCTAGATGGCCCCGGGTGTGCTCATCCCCAAAAATTGAATTTTGGTCTCCTCCTTGGGTTGGTTGGAATTTTGTTGATTTTGATTGAATACATTTTCTGCGACTGTTCATTCGTCGATGCAATCGACGGTACAGGCTTGAGCCTATGATTGGTCAGCAGTCCAGACGCCCGTACTTGATGTTGTATACAATATATTGTCCCATGTTTATTTTCGTTTTCTGAGAAAACTGGTTTAATGATTTTATGAATGAAGAACGTAAATGAAATTATTTCATTTTGATTTGCGATGAAGAATAAAAAGAAAAAACAAAATAACAAAAAAGGGAAAGGACAAAATAATAGCGAAAGCGATAATCAGAATGTAGAAGGTAAGCTGGGTAGAATTCGTTTTGATAATTCATATATTTTCCTTTCGAATTTATGTTTAAACAGCCATACACTTTCCTACAAGGAGAATATGTTCACTGATTTTTAATGATTTTCATTTCGGTATATATAAGTTTATATGGTAAATCATACATATCAATATGCTGTTACATATTGCATGGTGAATTCTTCATTGTCATCCCCCCCCCCCAAGGCAACCCCTGGGGATTTGTGGAATTCTATTTCCAAACTGTCAACCCCCCGGCCCCGGGCGAATAAGGAAAACGCAATTCCCCATGCCGCAGAAGGGACAACATTCACAAACAAGTCGCACACAATGCAATAGCTATTAACCCATTGAGTTGCATTGCAACTGTAAAATAAGGCAAGATGATTTTACTCATCAAGGCGATCGAGAGAATCCGAGAGCAGGCATTCAATGGAAATAACTGTTAGCGTAGAATATTATTGATGGATAATCTATATGCAATCGTAAAGCTGTTTACAAGAGGAGCTTACAAGTTGCCGCAACATTTCCATTTGAATACTACGCTGTAGACGTAGCACCTCCCCAATCCAAGTTACTGATTTGCTACATAATATATATTTATATCAATGCCAATTGCTTGGATGAGCCCTGTGACGTAGTAAACATTGTTAACCCATTGCATGAGCGCCAGCGCTCTCTCTTTGTTGATCGAGTAAAATCGTCTGGTGTTAGACAGCAGCATAAAATAATCTGGCGTTGGACAGAGTAAAATAATAAAGTTAAGGTACATTAGGGTGCAATGCAACTTAACCCATTGAGTGGCAGCACTCTCTCCCTGATGAGCAAAATCGTTTGGCGTTAGACAGAGTAAAATCGTCTGGCGTTAGACATGGGCAGATAGTCTGATTAACCCATTAAGCGCCAGCGCTCTCCCCTTGACGTGTAAAATCGTCTGGCGTTAGACAGAGTAAAATACTAAAGTAGGGTGCATCAGGGTGCAATGCGACTCAATGGGTTAACTAGACAGATGGTCAGATAGGCCAGTTAACCCATTAAGCACCAGCGCTCTCCCCTTGACGAGTAAAATCGTCTGGCGTTAGACAGAGTAAAATACTAATTAACAGCAGGGTGCATCAGGGTGCAATGCAACTCAATGGGTTAATCCATTGAGTTGCAGTACTTCCCCCCTGACGAGTAAAATCGTAAACCGAGTAAAATAATAAAGTTGAGTGCATCTCGGCGCATTCCCACTTAAACGGTTAATGGGCTAACTGTGAGTCAGGTTCTGAAATTTAAAATATATTTCAGTACACTACAAGGATACCATCTTTCGATGTTCTGGTATCCCTTTTGAGAACCATAAATTTTGACATCCCTCAACCATTAAAGTATGGATACTGTAAATGTCTTTCATTGTTATAAATTACAATAACAACACGAGATTCAACAGTCGACAAGTAGACCACCGGTTGCAAATCAAAGCCATTTATTTTCAATCTTGAAAACAGACTCATAGGTTTCAAAGCTATTGGGAGACCAATATTACAATGCGGATACATTCAGCATTCAGGATACAAGTAATTTACAGCTCTTGGTATCCAGAACCAAATTTTAGTATCCTGTTGACATTGGGATATTCAGATACTACCAATTTTAGACCACTATATATAATTATTTTTTTTTTTAGGAAAATGTTCTCATGTTCAAGAATGTGTTAAATTTACAAACTTGAACAATACTATTCCCCATGCTGATTTATCAAAATGTCAGGATTGTTTGAAATTGATCGAAAAGCCCACCGAGGCTTCTCGTGACAAGAAATCGGACAGCGTCGTAGATGGCAACGATGGACCCGATTCGACACAAGGTGAAGAAAAATCTGGTATCTGTATTTGCTTGCGTTGTGGAAATATTGTAAGTATTACAGGCGGCCAGACAATTTATCAGCATATACTGTAGCACCCTCAGTAATCCCATTCATTCTGATCACTGGATCATGACTGGATGGCATGGAGAATAGACGAATAGTGAGATTTTCAAAACAATGAAAAGACAATGGAACATTCCGATCACTGGATCATGACTGGATGGCATGGAGAACAGTGAGATTTTCAAAACAATGAAAAGACAATGGAACATTCTGATCACTGGATCATGACTGGATGGCATGGAGAACAGTGGGATTTTCAAAACAATGAAAAGACAATGGAACATTCTGATCACTGGATCATGACTGGATGTCATGGAGAACAGTGAGATTTTCAAAACAATGAAAAGACAATGGAACATTCTGATCACTGGATCATGACTGGATGGCATGGAGAACAGTGAGATTTTCAAAACAATGAAAAGACAATGGAACATTCTGATCACTGGATCATGACTGGATGGCATGGAGAACAGTGAGATTTTCAAAACAATGAAAAGACAATGGAACATTCTGATCACTGGATTATGACTGGATGGCATGGAGAACAGTGAGATTTTCAAAACAATGAAAAGACAATGGAACATTCTGATCACTGGATCATGACTGGATGGCATGGAGAACAGTGAGATATTCAAAACAGTGAAAAGACATTGGAACATTCTGATCACTGGATCATGACTGGAAGGCATGGAGAATAGTGAGATTTTCAAAACAATGAAAAGACAAAGGAACATTCTGATCCCTGGATCATGACTGGATGGCATGGAGAACAGTGAGATTTTCAAAACAATGAAAAGACAATGGAACATTCTGATCCCTGGATCATGACTGGATGGCATGGAGAACAGTGAGATTTTCAAAACAATGAAAAGACAATGGAACATTCTGATCATTTTATTTTCCCAAAATTCTAGGCGTGTTCTCGCCAGTCAAGTCATCAACATGCAGTTCAACATTATAATTCAAAAACTTCTCATCCTTTGGTTATCAATCTTTCAAACTGGGTTATCTGGTAATAGTCAAATATACATGTACTGCAGCAGAAAATTACTCAAAGACATTTCTTTTTACATATATATTGCTATACTGTAGTTGTAAAGGCCCTTGTTAGCCTAGAAATAATGCTATTTGAGTTAGACCTTCAGAAATCAAGCCATTATTGCACACAATTTGAAGAAGATTAGCTGCATAGAAATTGCCAAATTACTAATTATTCAGATCGTCAGTTCAGAATGAAAAATGGTTCGACTGATCACACAGCAACAAGTTTTTGTACTGTTTTACGCTCTCTGTTAAATTAATCAGCATATCATATTCATATGTTGAACGAAACCAAACTTACATAGTATGAAACAAGCACTAGTGTCTATATTTTTATTTTTGTGTTAAGGTGTTACAAATGTGATAACGAAGTTGATGTCGAAATCAATCCTGCGCTGGGGCAATGTCTTACTCTTTTGAAAAAGGCTTTGGGCGTTAAAAATGCAAAACAAGGTACAGTATATACAATAGGTCTAATTTACGACTCGTCTTAAAATGTTTGTCCAAGAATGTCAGATTGGGTCATTTGGCTTGCCACACGTAAAAACGCGCAAGTTGTTAGAGATCTGCAAACAAGTTGTAAGCAAGGTTGTTGTGAAGCCGATATCAGGATGTGTTCGCACTGCTTGTTCCCAGTTGTTGTGACAAGTCTGGAACAAGTTGTTATCGATAACCTTGTTACAAGGTTGATGACGGTAACAGACTTGCTACAAGTTGTTCCAACAAGACTAATACAGGCTGTTCGTAACAAGTTGCTACAAGCTTGTTGTCATCAACTTGTGAACAACTTGTTACGTGCAGACGATATCAGATTGTTGGAACAACTTGTTGCGAGTCTGTTGGCCTCATCAACCTTGTTACAAGATGATAACAACTTGTTCCAGACTTGTCAACAACTGGGAACAAGCAGTGCGAATTAAAACATCTTGTTGAAAAGCTGTGATATTTTTAAACGTGTACAGCCCAGTAAGCTATCTACGAGGTCGATTCGAGTAGGAATTATTTAGTTGAGCATACTCATTATGACATTATTTGTATTATTACTTTAGAAAAACGTATAGAAACATCGCAGAAGAAATCAACTTCAAACAATTACTCCCTTGCTGGCAACAATAATGCAGTTAACGGTTTGGCCAATCTGGGCAATACATGTTTCTTCAATTCCGTAATGCAGGTATAATGATTCTGTTCAAAACTGTCCAGTATAATTAAAGTTAGTTTTGTTTAGGTTTCCTCCTGTAGTAACACTGGATCAATAGGAGATGATCCTTACTGGAC